AACGACTTTCATTTTCCTGGCCTGCCATTTATCTTTGGGAGCTCACCTGTCATGATGTAGTGCTTTATTGGCTCCCTCCAGTCAGCCCCCCAGTCTTTAGCCGAAATTTGGTCAACTTTGTGAAATATTCGTGGCTCTGGTTCGGGATGTTCGTTTGGTTCAAGAATATCCTCCTCGACTAACGGTTCGGTTTCTAATATTGTTTCTGGAATCACATCTTTAGCTAAGACAACGGGTTCCTTGTTAGATGCATTTGATCCCCTTGACTTCCTCCGTTTGTTGGGTGGCGGTTCGATCTCTGGTTTGCCACGGTCGCGTGCCGCTGCTCGAGACCTTGTAACGACGAGGGTTTCCTTGCTGTCTTGAATGCTTCGCTCCGAGATGCATTCTACTGGAATAACTCTCTTTAACTCAGGATCTGATGTTGACGCCAATGCGGCAAATGCATCCGCAGTTGTATTCTCTCCCCGAGGTATGCGGATTAATTCGAATTTCGAGAAATTTTTAGATAGATCCTTCACCACTTCGAGATACGCTTCCATTCTTGAATCTTTGGCTTCATAGTCTCCATTAAACTGGTTAACTACTAATTGTGAATCGCAATAAGCCAATATTTCCTTAGCACCAACTCCTTGTGCTAATCGAAGTCCGGCAATCAGGGCTTCGTATTCTGCCTCGTTGTTGGAAGCATTGAATAACAACCGGAATGATTGTTCTAGAATTTCTGATGTTGGAGATTCCAACTTGATTCCCACTCCGGATCCTTGTTTTGTTGAAGACCCGTCTACGTGTAATTTCCAAGTTTGGTTCTCCGGTTGCTCTATCGTTCCAGGTATTGGTAGCTCGGTCAGGAAGTCTGCTAAGACCTGAGCCTTCATACTGATCCGGCTTTTGAATTCTATGTCGTACTCGCTTAACTCCACCGCCCATTTCGCCAAACGTCCAGACTGACTTGGACTATGAAGTATTGTTCGGAGTGGTTGGTTAGTTAATACTTCAACCAGATGGGATTGAAAATATGGACGCAGCTTTCGAGCTGAAGTTACCACCGCGAGTGCAAGTTTTTCCATCATTGTGTACCTGGTTTCCGGATCCGTCATTGACTTGCTTACGTAGTAAATTGGTTTCTGCTCCCCACGGTCTTCCCGAACCAAGACTCCACTAACCGCGTGGTTTGAAACTGACACGTACAAATAAAGTTTTTCATCCACTTCCGGTTTGGACAGTATAGGTGGAGTGGTTAAGTATGCCTTAAGCTGCCCAAAAGCTTCTTCACACTTCTCATCCCAAAGGAATCCTTTGTTCCCTTTCAGAATTTGGTAGAAAGGCAACGACTTATCTGTTGATCTCGAGATAAAACGATTCAAAGCCGCAATCCGCCCAGTCAACCGTTGTACTTCTTTGAAGTTTCTTGGAGATGGCATGTTTAAAAAGGCGTTAATTTGATTTGGATTGGCTTCAATCCCTCTTTCTGTCACGATATAGCCAAGAAATTCTCCGGATGGGACTCCAAATGTGCACTTCGCCGGGTTCAGCTTCATTTGATATTTATTGAGAATATCAAAACATTCTCCCAAATGTTTAACATGATCTTCTTTCTTTAACGATTTAACCAACATATCATCTATGTGGACTTCCATAGTCTTTCCGAGGTGATTGTGAAACATTTTGTTCACCAACCGTTGGTAAGTTGCTCCTGCATTTTTCAAACCAAAAGGCATTACCTTGTAATAGTAGATACCTCTATCTATGATAAATGACGTCTTTTCTTGATCTTCGGGGTTCATCATTATCTGATTATAACCCGAGAAGGCGTCCATGAACGTTAACAGCTCTTTTTCAGCGGTGGTCTCTACAAGTCGATCTATATGCGGGAGCGGGAAACTATCTTTGGGACATGCTTTATTTAGGTCTGTAAAATCGATGCAAACCCTATCTTTCCCATTCTTCTTTTTGACGACGACAGTGTTTGCTACCCATTCCGGGTATTGCACTTCTCTTATGGACCCTATCTTCAAAAGTTTATCCACTTCGTCATTTACCACTTTGGCTCGCTCTACTCCGAGCTTTCTTCTTTTCTGTTTCACCGGCTTGAAGCATGGATCCACGTTTAGCTCGTGACAAATTATATTCGGATCTATACCAGGCATGTCTGCTGCTGACCATGCAAACGATGTTTTGTTTTTCCTTAAGAGTTCGATCAAAGCTTCTTTTATTTGGCCAGTCAAAGTTGCTCCAATTCGAATTTTCCGGTCCGGCTTGTCTTCTTCCAACACCACTTCAATTACTACATCATCTTTCTTCTGCCCGCTAGGAAGTTTTGTTCTCAGTCCCTCTTTTGCGGGTTTCGTTAATTGCTATTGAATCTTCATACGGTGGCTAGCTAGATAACACGTCCGGGAAGCTTCTTGATCTCCCCGAATTGTTTCCACTCCTCTTGACGTTGGAAATTTGATACATTGATGATATGTAGAGGGGACTGCTTTCATTTGATAGATCCAGGGAGTACCAAGGATGATGTTGTAAGCTGCGGGCTTATCGAAGACGACGATGTCCACGATCTTCGATACCTTCTTGGCAAGGACCGGTAGCTTGATTGTTCCGGGAGACATGGCTGACTCGCTTGTGAACGCAACTAACGGAGATGGGGGTCCTACTATGTCTCCTCGGCTGATTCCCATTTTTTCTAGAGTACTTAAAAAGATCAAGTCGACCGAACTGCCTGTATCTATAAGGATCCTTGATACTTCGAAGTTAGCGACATCAAGAGTAATGACTAGAGCATCATCATGCGGTCTTTCGAGATGCCGCGTTTCTTCTTCGTTAAATGATATTGAGGCACCTTGAAAATCAATTTCTTCGCTCAAGCTTGCTTTGAGTAAGACATTTCGTCTATGTTTTTTGATGGAACTTATTGAATCTCCGCAAAATCTGGAACCTCCTAGAATCACATTGATCTTACCCTTCGAACTCCTTGGTTCTTCCTCGTTGGATAACCTTGGTCTTTTGGAATCTTGATCTTTGGAGTTTTCCTTTGCTTCGTGGTATTCCTTCACAAAATCTTTTATATCGAATTTAGAAAGATCGCCACTAGCCCAGAGCTCTGCGAGGTGCTTTTTAAGAACGCTGCAATCCTTGGTTAAATGTCCGGTTACTTTATGAATGTCGCAATATAGACTTTCATCACGGATCCAAGTGTTTGATCTTCCTTTCCCTTGGAACTGCTTTCCGACGGTATTGTTGAAGGGTTGCGACCCAAACTTCTTTGGTCCTTTGCTCTCCCTAGGCTCGAACTTCCTGGCAGGGACGGTGATTGCTGGCTTTTCTTGCTTATTTCTTTTGGCAAAACTTTCTTTTTCGTCCTCTACCTCCATCCAGTTGTTCGCGCGAAAGAGTGCATCCTGAATTGTGTCTGGTTTATGAAGTATTAAGTCTTCTTTAAACCTTGAATCATGTCGCAATCCTTTTCGTAGGGCAGATAAAGCTGATTGCTGCGAGATTCTTGGGAGTTTTGACAGCACTCCTTTGAATTTGGTGATGAAAACTCGAAGTGACTCACTAGATCCTTGCGACAAGTTCCAAAGATCAGCATCCGAAACACTTTTATCCATAAGAATGGAGTATTGCTTTAAGAATACGGCTGATAGTTCGTCGAAATTGCTGACCGAACCCGGCTCTAATTGGGTGAACCACATTAGAGCTTGGCCACACAGATTCTCCGAAAAAAGCTTGCAGTAACCTGCATCCTCATCAGCTTCATCCAATTCGACTCTTCCAGCAGCGATCAGAAAAGCTGCGAGATAGCTTTTTGGATCCTCCAATCCGCTGTAAGGGTCCAACTTGAGCTTCCGGGAATCTTTGATCCTCAAACTTGCAATTCGCGGGATGAAAGGGGTTCGCCTAGCTTCTTCAATGACTCGATTGATGTCTGGCTCCGAACTTGTAGCCTGATGAAATTTTGATTTCATTTCTTTTAATTCCTGGCTAACCTTCCTCATGGTCTCGAACTGGTCGAGGTTCTCCTGCTCGTACTGAGCTGCAAGTTGTTCTTCATCCCCGAGCTGTGTCTCTTCTTCCAACGTCTGAGCCACATTATTAGTATCACCGGGAGTTGTTTGTCCGCTGGTTTCATTTCGTGCAGCGGAACTTGGCGAGTTGAATATCCCTCTTCGGGTTCCCACAAGGTTTCCTGCACTTAAAGAGCGAACACGAGTTTGTATAGTATTGACGTTTTGACTAAGAGAAACCTGGGATGTTTGCAACGTATCGACGGCCTTTTCCACATCCGAAAACTTTTGTGATATGTCCGACATGGTTTGCTGCATAGCTTTGAAGGTTTCGGCCAATGATGTCTCAACGGCATCTCCTCCGGACATTGTTGCTTATCTCGGAAATGTAGAAAAGAAAAAATCTGACCACTCAAGAATCCTAGTTCCCCACAGGCGGCGCCAAAATGTGGAAGTCGGATTCACACACTCAAGTATTTTATTAAGTAGGAAAGATTATTCTTGAGGGACAAAAATGAATATGTAAAAACTTATAAATTGCTACGAGAATTGCTATAGACTTTCTTTTTTGAGAGAGAAGATCCCTTTACATGGCCATTGGCCTTTATATTTATACATAGAGAAACGACATTAAAATGAATAATTAAGTACAATTATTCCTTCTTAAATGTGTCCGTTTTGATTCTTCGACTTTAATGCTCAACGTTTGAATTTGAGTTGACTCTGATCTTCATGGGCCTCGTCTTTTTGGCCCAAGTGTCCTTGAACCGACTTACCCGTGTCTTCTACACCGAACTCGTGTCACAGTTCAGTCACTTCGGATTCTCGAAGTGGTGACAACCACTTCGACCGTTCCTTCAGCTCATGGGTTCAATGGGCTTTATCTTTTACGGGCCATTATCTTGACTACGTGGCAATCTTTGGTTGGTCTCGTACTTCTGGTGCGGGATCCGACACCAACAATCACCAAAGCAAATCTTCAAGCTACGGAGTTTGATCGCTGCTAACTAATTAGCGATCACATCGTCAAAATATAAACCTTAATTACACACCCCAAAAAAAGAAATGCTGCTAACTGGCACATAATAATAGGTTGGAAGATTGATGAAAGATGAAAGCAAAAGTTTCTCCAAGAGCATATTTATATCAATCTCACATAGAATATATGAAAATAGATGTGATGTTTGAAAGCCTTGTAATAAGAAAACACAAATCCAAATTAACTACTAGTCTATTTTTTGAGGTGGAATATAGTAAGGGGCACTGAACCCGCATCTAAAAACTAGATCAGTATTGAAGCATTCAGCCAGATTGACAATTCCGATTTCTTGGAAACTAAAGAGATGGACTGTGTTAGGGCATAGGCCGGGGAAGGAGCTAGCAGGGACACAGAAAGGTTCAGAGTTTGAGAGGAAAATGCAGAGATCTCCTATGTCTTTGGTGTACACCGCATCTCCTTGTTCGTCTATCTTGAAGACCATCAGAGCTTTTGTTTGCATATCAGGGATAACGTCGTCGAAGTTCCCGAGCTCCTTCTTGTACCACTTAACCAAGAAAGTTTCACCCGTGGATCGTGACTCCACCAAGTGTGTGCTCATGTCACACTTACACGAAAGCAAAATCTCACGTTCAGTCTCGGTCAGCTCGGGCGATTTTTGGTATCGCAACTTCTGAAGCTTGGGTGTGTGCTTGTGTTCGCGGAGATCCCATGATCCAATAACGTGGCTTCCAATTCCGTTTATGCAAAACATGTCATCTTTCTTAGAAAAGATGACTTCGGATCTATAGAAGCAACGGTCTGCGATTTTGATGTTGATCCACTCGGAGTTATTTTGAGCCGGTCTGTAAAAGCTGAGTTGAGGTCCATGGAACTTGACAGCCACAACGCAGTCCTCGTCCTCTGGAGAGGATGAGGACATTGCCACATTGGTGACAAATCTGGCTTTGCAATTAGGCAGCGTTACAAAAGGAGGCAGAGGAATGCGTTTAGGAGCTGTATGCGATGCAAACGGGTTTAGATCGTCTTGGAGATGCATTATCCCGTCGTCGTTCATAGTAGCTACCCACCCATGAGATGAACCAATCGTTTTCATTTCACTAAGATAGTTATACACCAAATCTAGAGGCACCTTCTTATCCGAAACAATGGGTTCACCACGGTTATTAGCATATGCAAACGCGAGTTTTCCTAGATCCGCTCCACATTCTTTAGCCCCGATGATGATACAAGGCGGGGTTTGCTGCAGGGAAGAAGATGAGAAGTCATTTGGAGATGATCTTACAAAGACCGGTTTCCGAACGCAGAGCTTTGGAGGCTGGCCGAGAAGCAGAGACATATGATATGTATGTTCTTAACGCAAAAATCAAAGAGAGATTTAAGAAGGAAAAAGAACAAGAAGTAGAACCCTAATTGGTGATTCACGTTTATGCCACCTAAAACCCTCCGTTATACAGAGGAAGGAACTTGGTCACCAAGTTACATTATTTTTGAATATGGATAGTTTCCTTCTTTTTTTTATTGGTTTTGATCTCATTAACTTCATATTCCAAGTGGAGTTCGTCGTGTGCTCTCATTAGAACATCCAACACTGACAAGTCAGTCTCAATATGTTTAAGAAAGAGTTTGGTTTGAGAATACAGACATCAAACTTATTGGTATGAGATGAAATTTTGGTGTCTTGGCTTTTCATGTTTATTGTCAAGAGTATTTCTTTGATTGTGTTTCAAATTAGACCGAAACGAACCATTTATATAACCAGTTGTAGAGAATGCTGAATCAAGTTAAACATGCTAACCAGAGTAAATCAAAGGTAATCTCATCTCCATGTTGGCCCAAAAGTGTCTTGTCTTGCAACAATAGCATTCTTCCTCTTTATTGAATAAATAAATACAAAAAACACAACCCAGAAATTATTTAGACATACAATAGCAGAGACTCCAGGACAAATAATAAACAGATGGTCTTGGAATGTGTAGAATCGAAAGAAAAGAACGTTTTGTTGAAGCACGTTTTGTTTTGGACAGGGGAAAAAAGGAAACACAATCTGTGTGTGTTTGGTTGCATTCCATTATATGAAAGAAACATGCAAGTCCCATCAAGCTGCAAGAAGCTAG